TCTTGGCGAAATAAGTGATAGATTCGGGTTTGACTGTGAATGCAGTGCGTGTTCTGCAGGAGTGAGGCGAATGCGTGACAGCGATTGGAGAAGAGAGCGCTTGTCGCAACTGTGTGCTGCGCTATCGCAAGAAGAGGATAGGGACGAGAAGAGGCTAGGTCCGTCTGATGGAATGCGCTTGCAGTTGCGCAAGCGAACCCCTTTGTTCTTTGAAGTGGATGATGAAGGCCAGCAGGAGCTACAATACACCCTTGAGAGAGGCTGGCGCTCCGAGGCTATGTCGACTTCAGAGGGCGACAGCGGCGACATTGTCGAGAGCATTGAGATGAGCAACGGCCTCCGAGAGGCAACAGCTCTTCTGGACGAGGAGCTTCACGGGCACCCAGCAGCCAGGGCACTTTTGTTCTTTGGTGGCTTCCGGCGGGCCATGGCTGCCGGCCGTCTCTCGGCTGCAAAGTCCTTGGCCAAAGCCGCCTGGAACGCCACGTCCACAGCCGAGGGGTCGACCTCTTGGCGGGCACAGAGGCTGCAGCTATTGGCAGAGGATCCCCGGGCACTGAGCAGAAGCAGGCTGGAGCAGGAGGAGCAAAAGGCCGTTCGCGCATCCACCAGACATCTCCATACATCTCTGCTTGCTCCTTCGCCTGCTTCACCGCCTTCGGCATCTCTGGCTCAGACCTTTGAAGGTTCGAGATGTTCGACGAAGTTCGAAGCTCAAGACGTGGGGGAAAAATAGCTGGTAGCCTACTTAGGGGATCTGTGAAGGGCATTGTAGCCTGATTGTAGCAGTTGTATCTGGAGTTGCCAACTCCCACGGACGGCCATGGAGCACTGGTCTGATCCAGCTCGGACCCCAGCAGCACATTGAGCCCGACACCCACCTAGACCATCTGCTACATCTGAACCCCCTAAGCCCACTGTGTTGCTGTGGCAAACCTTGTCAGAAGCGAAATTTTCTGAGGCCATTGTCAGGCTCCGGCTCGATGTCTCGTACTTGAGTGGACTTGATTGACTTCGAAGATCGAAGAACACTGGGGGGGTTCAAAACTGGGGGTACTTGTAGATACAGTGTTTTTTTGGTAATGTAAAGCTGCAAAAGAGAGAGGCCTTAGTTCAGAAACCGCCCGCTCCCCCCGCCCCTTGCTTGAGCAGCTTGAGCAGGGTGGGTGTCAATCTGGGCTCGGCGCAGGCTGCGCGGCGTGACACAGCGGTTGGGTTTATCCCGGTGTTTCTATTCTGCCAGGGCATCCCGGCTACCAAGCTGCTGACCACGGTGCACGAGGTGAACGGGCAACGTTGTGAGGGTTGAGGGTTTAGGGTTTAGAGTTTAGAGTTTAGAGTTTAGGGGGAGAATCTGAGAGGGCATCAGAGTACTTGGCTCGGATCCTAGCGCGCGATTCAGAAACTGGACGCGATTCAGGAAACCAGGATTCAGGAAGCTACGCGATCCAGGAAAGTAGCCGATTCAGGAAACTGAAAACGTGCGATTCTGGAAACTGCGACTCAGGAAACCACGCGATTCAGGAAACTGAAAACACGTGATGCAGGAAACGCGCCATTCAGGGGGGGTGGGGGGGAGTGTGGCGGAGGGTGGTGGGGGGGGATGAGAACGTTCATGTCCACGCGCTCCAGTTTCCTTAATCAGCTGGTTTCCGAATCCGCGCGCTCCAGTTTCCTGAATCGGCTGGTTTCCCGAATCCTGGTCTGAGGAATCCGCGCATTCAGTTTCCGAATCCGCCTTTGAAGTTTCCCGAATCCCGGTTTCCGAATCCGCGTTGTCCAGTTTCCTGAATAACCGGGTTTCCCGAATCCTGGTTTGCCGAATCAGAGCTTTTAGTTTCCCGAATCAGGTTTTGCTTCCAGAAACCGAATCCGCTGCTGACCCCTGGGCTCAGGTGCTGGCCAGGTCACTCAACTTGATGAGGCTCCTCTGCATCTCGGCCTCTTCACCCACGCAACTAGACTTCACGCACGTATATAAAAGATATGTACAAAAGATGTATATATATTTTTAGAGAAGTATAAGTATAAGTATAAGTATAAGTATAAGTATAAGTATATGTATATGTATATGTATATGTATATGTATATGTATATGTATATGTATGTACATGCGTATGTATATGTATGTATATATGTTTATAAATATATGCACATATGTGTGCATACATATGTACATATGTTATAAATAAATCGATAATAAATACATAAATAAATAGATAGATAAACAAATACATACATATATATATATGTACATATGTATGTACATACATGTTTTAATAAATAAACAAAAAATATCTGTATATATATATATATACACATAGATACGTATACACGTCTATGGTCAACCCCGCTATGACAGACACTGGTCTCGAAATCACAATACATAGTGCTTGGAACACGGTTGTCGAAGATCCCAAGCCGATGATTCCTGGAAAGGGGTCGATTTCTCCGGGTCACCAGCCCCAAAAACTAGAACTAAAAATCAAACCCTCAGGGAGAGTCTCAGGCCTTGCATGTATTTATTTTTTTTCATTGTTTAGGTTTTTCGTTTCGTCGTCGTTTTTGGGCGTGTTTTTTGGTTTCGGGTGGTTTGTCCGGAAATTTTCAACCCAAAACCAAAATCCAAACAACGGTTCGAGCAAACAGAAAACTAGCAAAAGCCAAGAAACGGGGATTGCCAGCAGCCGCGAAACCAAACACCAAAAAAACAAATCGCCGGGGGAGTCTCATAACTCGTTGGAACTCGTTGGGTTTTTCCTCTATTTTTGTTTTGGAATGGTTTTTCCTTAGGAACCTCAACCAAAACCAGAATTCGAAAAAACAAAACTACCGAGAGAAACAAAAAAAGAAGCCCAAAGACACACTCACACACAGAAACAAAACAAGTTCGGAGATTCTCCCTGGGGGTTTGTACGATTTTTGTTTTTTGGTTCTGGCGCCTAGATAGTTGCCACTGGTGGAAATGCAAAACCACTATCTCGAACCGAAAAGCGGGTTTGTCTTTCTCTTTCTCTCTCTCTCTCTCTCCCTCGCCCTCTCCCTTTCTCTCTCGCTCTCGCTTTCTCTCGCTCTCTCTTTATCTCGCTCTCTCTGGGGTCAGCAGAAGGCCATCCGTTGGGCTTGCTTCACTGTCAACAGGGCCAGGTGAAAAAGATCATGGCTGCTGGGGTAGGGATAAAAAATAAGGGAACAAAGATATACAAGGATCAATAAGAAGAACACCCTAAACCCTCCCTAATCCAAAAACCTTGAACCCTAAGCCCGACATTCTTAGGCCGTGCTCGCCATTTTCTCGGGTGCCTGGACCCAGAACTATACCCGGGAGTCAGACACACCTCTACTGGCAAGACAATGGGTAGTGCCATTTAAGAGTGGTCGAATCCAGCTGTGCCTCGTCCATGGCCAGCTGGGTCACCTGCAAATATGGAAAATTTGAACCTCTGTGTTGGTCGGGAATTGAGGGCGGCCTAAGCCCTAAAAGGCAATTGTCTGGGTGGTGGCCTGAAAACCTCACAGTGACAGGGAGAAAGAAACCTAGTACCACTGAAAACTGTTGGACGGCGTTGAGATTATATGCCTTCGCATGACGTGCCACCTCCCCACACTCCTGGCATCTTTGGGGGGCGCTGTTTCCACACGGTAGCAGCTGCTGCCTAAACCCTAAACCCTCAACCCCCAACCCTCAACCCTAAACCCTAAACCCTCAACCCTCAACCCTCAACCCTCAACCCTCAACCCTCAACCCTCAACCCTCAACCCTAAACCCTAAACCCTAAACCCTAAGCCCTAAGCCCTAAACCCTAAACCCTAAACCCTAAATTCCCACCCGGCCTGCTTAGGCCGTACCCACCCTTTTCTAGGGTGCCTGGACCCAGAACGGCAGTGATGGACACCTTTACTGGATGGACAATGGGTGGAGCCATTGGAGAATGGTCGAATAGAGAGGTCTTGGGGCTCGCCTTGCCACTAGGCCACCAGACTCGCGCCCTTCTTCAGACAGAGACCGGCTGGCCTCCGCTGGCCCCCCCTCGCCCCCCTACCCTCCAGCCGCCGCCGCCCCTCGACCCTGGCCCGCTCAACTGGTCCCCAGCTTCTGGCCCCTCCTGTGTTCCCCCTTACCTTGACTACCTTCACCACACCTTTGTAGGGAAAGCAGTGGTGGGAATTGAGGGCGACGGCCCTAAACCCTAGAAGGCAGTGGTTTGGGTGGTGGCCTGTGAAAGCTCACAGCGGGTGGGGAGAAAGAACCCAGCACCAATGAAATTGTTGGATTACATTTGACAACAGATGCCTTCGCGTGACATGCCGCCCACCCCACACCCCCTGGGTGTGTAGGGGCGCCATTTACACTTACTGCCGCTGTGCGGCGAGACGCCCTAAACCCTAAACCCAAAACCCTAAACCCTAAACCATAAACCCTAAACCCTAAACCCTAAACCCTCAGCCCTCAACCCTCAACCCTCAACCCTAAACCCTAAACCCCTAAACCCCTAAACCCCTAAACCCCTAAACCCCTAAACCCCTAAACCCTAAACCCCTAAACCCCTAAACCCCTAAACCCCTAAACCCCTAAACCCCTAAACCCCTAAACCCCTAAACCCCTAAACCCCTAAACCCCTAAACCCCTAAACCCCTAAACCCCTAAACCCCTAAACCCCTAAACCCCTAAACCCCAAACCCTAAACCCTAAACCCTAAACCCTCAAGACAAAATAAAAAGAAATTGTATGTGGTATCATTTTGACTATCCCAAGATAGTCGTCTAAACAGCTGACAAGCAGAGTTTGAGGAAATTCATCCAAAGCATCTGGTGGGGGTTTAATAGAAATTGTATAGGGCTTGGGTCCCATTAACGTTTTGACCGGGTTTGGACCGGGTTTTGACCGGGTTTCTTTTTTGGAAATTACATTTCATTTGGGGGCCGGGGCCGGGGCCGGGCTGGCGGGCGGGGCTGGGGCTGGCGCTGGGGCTGGGCTGGGCGGGATAAACAAACGCGTTGAGTAATCCACTCAAACTCGTCAGCTGTTGAGACACTAAACCCTAAACCCTAACCCTAAACCCTAAACCCTAAACCCTGAACCCTAAACCCTAAACCCTAAACCCTGAACCCTAAACCCTAAGCCCTAAACCTCTCTACCATATAACCCTAACTTTTCTTTTTTTCACCCCCCCGTTGTTCAGCGCCCTTTTGACCCCCCAGTGTTTTGGCACGAATTGGAGAATTTGATCCATTTCGACCCCTCCGACCCCTTGACCCCCCGTTCGGCAGTTCGACCCCTCCTTGACCCCCATTGTTCGGCACGAATTGGAGAATTTGATCCATTTCGAGCCCTCTTATTGTTCAGCACGAATTGGAGAATTTGATCCATTTCGACCCTTCCGACCCCTTTGAGCCCCCCATTGTTCGGCGCGAATTGGAGAGTCCATGTCGACCCCTCTCGACCCCTTCGCCCCCCATTGTTCGGCACGAATTGGAGAATTTGATCCGTTTCGACCGGTCTGTGACTAACCCTCCATGGTTCAGCACGAATAAGAAATTAATAAACTTTCTATTTTCGTAATGTTATGGGATTCTTTGGGCGGGTGGGTTTTGTTCCGTTGCCTACACACACTGCTGGCCTAGTAAATGCCCGAACTTGAGATGCTGAACTGCTGAACCCTAAACCCGAAACCCTAAACTCTAAACCCTAAACCTTAAACCCTTTTTGTTAAATTGCAAATCTCTCTATCAAAAATTCACTTCAGCGACTTTGCAGGCAAGGCCCAAAACTTAGCGGGCAAGGTCAAGCTGGCAAGGTCATGTGTCTCGTGGGCCCCCCCACCCACCCCCCCCCCTGCCCCCCCCCACCCCTCGCCACCCCCCCCACCCCCGCCCACCCCCCGCCCCCCGCCCCGCCCGCCCTGTGCAGAGGAAGAAAGATTTTTACAGAATTAGGGTTGAGGGCGTGAGGGTATGGAGACTAAGGCCTCAGGTTTAATGTTTTTTTTTCCAATGCTCTATAGTTGCTTGATTAGAAAGAACATGAGATGCTGAACCCTAAGCCGTAAACGCTTCTGAACCCCAAGCCCAGGCCTAAACCGTAGACCCTAAACCTACCCTAAACCTTAAACCCTAAACCCTAAACCCTAAACCCTGAACCTTAAACCCTAAACCCTAAACCCCCTGAACCCCCTGAACCCCCCCTAAACCCCCTAAACTCCCTATACCCCCTACCCTGAACCCTAAACCCTAAACCCTAAACCCTAAACCCTAAACCCTAAACCCTAAACCCTAAACCCTAAACCCTAAACCCTAAACCCTAAACCCTAAACCCTAAACCCTAAACCCTAAACCCTAAACCCTAAACCCTAAACCCTAATTCTAAACCCTAAACCCTAAACCCTAAACCCTCGGTGCGTGTTTGTTGATCCGGCAGCCCTCCTTGCAGGCAAGTACAAGGCATGTTGATAAGCTCAGTGAGCTCCTGCGGAAAGATGGTGTGCTGACTGTGCAGAAGCTTCTTGGAAGTTCCCAAAGGGTGCCGAAAGCCTCGCCAGCGAAGGCAAAAAGCCTCACCAGCGAAGCAAAAGCCTCGCTCAAGGCCGGACGAGGATGCCAAGGGCGGCGTCCGCTTGAAGGTACTCATGCCTGATGATGAGAGCTCGGTCATCTCCACAGGACTACAACCCCGCTGTTGCGATTGCCAGCGGACTGCAAATCAGATGCACATCCAAGACGCTGAAAGAATGCGCCTGTACACCTTTAGAACCAGCTCTCGAAAGGTGAGAAGAAATCGAGCTGGAGTACATTGTGGGAAAGTGGCGCAGAATCGTACCTAGAGCGTCTATGTCAGAAGTTTCACGATGCAGGCCGTGATAGAAGCGCCTATGGATATGTAGGATATAATGTGAATATCCAGTGTGAATTGCTCCGGAACGAAAGCTTTCCCAACATGTTGGCATATGCTGCGACTAGTGCATGGTGTCACCGTGGAGTAAGGATGGTTGCACTGTGTAGGGCAGGCGTGCGCCGTTCTGTCGCTCGGTATGCTTGTTGAGGAGGTTATTCCACTTGATAAAGCCCTGATATCCAGGTGCCTGAATGTAGAGCATCTTGAATCTCATACTTGGGCCGGTTGGACCTGTGAAGGCCGCTGTTCTGTTTGTGCTGCAAAGAGAACGCCCAAGGAGATGGCGGATCTGCGGCGTACTCGTGAGAGTATGCCCTATAGAACAGCTGTGCCGGAGGTGCAAATTGCTGAAAGCGCAGCAGCGTAAGACGCAAAACCCCTCTCTCAACCCTGTTTTTTATCATCAGTAGAGCAAGGTCTACTTAGTGTAGATTTCGGGCAGCTCGAATTTTCCCATCCCATAATGTTCCCGCCCCACTCCCGCCCACTTTCCCATCCCACTCTCTAACTTCATCCCACTCCCCCCCATCCCAATCCCACCTGCCCATCCCACTCCACTTTCCCGCTTCCCCATCCCACTCTCAAAGTGAGAATGGGATGCGAAAGTGGGGAAGTGGGAGATGGGAAGGTGGGAGTGGGAGTGGGGTGGGAGGGATGGGAATGGGGTTGGGATTGGAAATTGGGAGTTGGGAGTGGTGGGGGGCAAGTGGGAAAAGGATGGGGAAGTGGGGTGGGGTTTGCCGTCCCACCCCCACTTCCCCATCCCCCTCCCGCTTTCCCACCAACTCACATTTCCATATCCCACTACCGCTCCCACTTTCCCATCAACTCACATTTCCATATCCTACTCCCGCTCCCACTTTCCCATCCACCTCATCTTCCCATCCCATTCCCACTTTCACATCCTACTCAAATTTTCCCATCCGCACCCATTACCCATTTTCCACTTCCCCATTAAACTGACACTTTTCCATCCCATTCCCACCAACTTCCTGACTTCCTCATCCCGCTCCCGTTTTCGCATCATCACACTCGCACTTTCCCAGCCCTCCCAGCCCGCTCCCACTTTCCCACTTTCCCATCCCGCCCGTTGCAACCCCAGATCCCTCGACTCTTCACACCCAGGCCGCGGCCCTGGACCCGGATCCGAAACCGGCAGCGCCTGATGCTGATGCTGAGTCGCAGTATGCTCCGTCTGCTCACAGCAGCTGGAGTTGGATATCGGCAGAATGTCCGGGTTTTCTGAAGATTGATTTGCTGCCGGAGGCACACTTAGGTGCCATGACCTCATAACAAGAGGCACAAAAGAGCTTTCAGCACAACAATGCCCTGTGTACGACCCATAGGGACACATATGACCTCTCGAAAACCTTTGGGTTCGAAGAACCAAAAGCAAACACGACACAATGCAATAGCCCCATTTAAGTTTTCAAAGATGTCAGGCAATTGGGGACCAGGGGCCCTCCACATTTATGCTTGAAGGGTTTGTTTAAACAAATGATGACCTCAAAAAACTTGAACATGTTGCAAACATTGAATGGGAAGGGCCCCCGGGCCCCCCAGACCCATTCAAGTTTAAAAATGAAAGTGTACAATCCTTAAGCTCCTTTAACAAAGATACGGGCCGCTTCACATTTGATTTGTTAGGATGTTTTTTGGATTTTGCAGGGATGAGGATAGAGAGGAAATGGGGGCTTCAGGCTCTCAAGTTCAGCTTCTCAGGATGGGCGGGGGCCTCCAAATTCTGCCCGTTGATGCTTGGGGGGCAACAACAAAAAGACATATCTTTTTGTGGCCCTCCCCCCATGAGGCCAGCGTGGGAACCAGTCATCCTATTGCCACGTTAGTTCTAAAATATATCGAGTCCGTACAAGTGAATTCGACGTCCCAGACAGTACATACATACATACATACATGCATGCATGCATACATACATACATACATACATACATACATACATACATACATACATACATACACACATACACACATACATACATACGTACATACATACATACATACACACATACATACATACACACATACACACACTTTCTCATGAGCCTTGCGATGTGAGTTGCGTCTAAGCCGTTCTGTGCTTGTATCTGGAAGGCTTTCGCTGGTGGCAGCACCAGCTCTGGTTCAGTGTAAAGCCCTCAGGCGTCATGCGCAAACATGCGGGGGGTCTTTGCCGGCTTCAAGGCTTTTACATTCACAGCGTGGACTTTGCAAGCTGGTCCGAAGCTCACATCGAATGTTGTTCCACCAATCTGCAGCTTCACTTACGTTCACTTGTCCGAAGTGGGTGCAGAGGCTATCTAAGCTCGTGCTTGTCTACATCCTAATGGGCACCGTTTGGTGTAGCCGCCAAGAGTTGCGTGAAGCTGTCGGCAGTTGACGCTAGTTGTCCGTGTCGGCCAGCTTCATTGTGATGCCGGATCAGCTCTACAACGGGCGGCCGTGGCGTGCGTTGAAGCTTTGGTTATTCGGGTTCGTTGCATGCCGCGCCATCTCTGGTTGCTCAGCCCGTGCTTTTGCTGCAGAGCTGTCAAAGCCAGGATGGGCATGGGCATGTTTCGGTGGGCATTTGAAATTTTCTACCCCGAGGTGCGCGTGCCACATGTCATTGCCAAAGTACTGAGTTTTGCGGTTTCTGGCCGATGTCGGCCCTTCCATCAGGTCACTAGCCGCAAAAGATGCAAAAGCATGTTCCTTGTTGGGAGACGAACAAAAAAGTACAAGTCATCGAGGACTGCACGGGTCTCGCCTGTGCCAAAATGCACACCTGTCAGATTGCCCGAGCCAACGGCAGCCTTCACGATCCGGCAGAGAAGACCGTCGCCTGCGTGGCCGGGCGGAGGCCGGTTGTGGACTGGTCACGTTTCTTCTGGTTTCGTCATGTCACATCTAGCAGAGTCAAGCTCGGTTGGTTCAGGATTGGCCAGCTGGCAGGGATGCGAGCTAGGCTGAGGCGGCTGGAGCGAAACTGCATCTTGGGGAATGAATGTTCGACACGTGCCACACAACACATCCCAATCCGAGGCTGGTAGGTATAAGTACGCACCCCCTGACCACTTTGCAGTTTTGCGCTACTTGGAGCATCATTATCGCAAAAATGCCTACCAGCCAAAGTCTACGTAACTCAATTTTCCTAGAAAGTTGACAAGGCGTCCGTTTTGAGTAGCACTTGGGAAGAGAAGAAGAACCGCCCCTCCCATCCACGATTTGGACCTCAACACCCATCTCACTTCCCCCAATCCACTCTACGGTACAAATAAACAATAACCCAATTCTGAGAGGTGAGTATTCCTTGGAACCTACAGTGTCTCTGCTGTCACCAGCGCAACTAGGTTCGGCTGGCTTAGGGTTCGGGAGGCATGTCTTCAAAATACTGCGCCGCCGCCCCTGGCGGGGGTGGGGGGGTGTTGGGTGGGGGGAGGGGGGTTTGTACACAGAATCTGGATCGAATTTTTTCGTCACCTGTGAGACCAAGGAGGGGTTCGCGTGTAGTCTGCAGGAGGAAGGCAAGTGTCTCTTGTGTCTGGCAGGTGGCATGGATCAACGAAATATCTTTGCTTGACGCATGATGTCAGAAGCTTACGGCGCCTCTCTTGAAGCCTGATGTGCGAAAAGCGATGTTGGTGCCTGTCAGGGCTGTATTGCATTTGTTGGATTCAGGGCTGGACCGTCACTGGTGACGAGAAGCATGCATGCTCGGTCGAGTTCCACAATGCCTCGTCCTTGGTTTCCAACCACTGCTTGGAACCATTCGCCGTGTAATTGTGTGTCCAGGTGTACTGGCAGGACAGGCTTGTTCCTGACACGTCCCTTGCCTGGGTCCAAGCAGACATTCGAGCCCTGACGTGGGCAAGAGCTGTCCAGGTACACTTTGCGGGTGCTTGCTCCCACATCTGACTTCCACGAATGCTGGCTCTCCTTCAAGGCACGAACTGCCTACGATGTGTCGACTGCTAGCTGTTGGAATACGTTCCCGAAGCTCACTTGAACTTGGAAACGTGCTTGGCCTGGACAGCCTGTGAACCATCTTCGCTTCGGCGGTTGGCTTGCTGCTTACCCGAACGAGCAGAAGGCTTGCCCTTACAAGGCTCTGAGTGCTTCCTTGCTTCCACGTTTGCTTCCACGTTTGCTTCCATGTTTGCTTCAAAGCAAAACGAGCTGCTTCAGGTAGTCCGGGACAGCTCCTGCCCGGTTGATTCTTGCAAGCTGCTTTGTGCCCTGGCCTTGGCTGGACTCCAGCATGCACTTTGATGTGCTGCGAGTGGCAAGTTGAGAGTGTTCTCAGCCTGAGGCTTGGACCAGCATGCTGCCTCCCTCTCAGAAGTCTTGTGCAGGCCCCTGCAGACATGCCAGCATCTAGTGGTCGCTACCCACTCTTTAAACACTCTGAGATACTTATAACTTTTTCGTTGACCGCATAGCTGGAGATTTGCAGCAAGCCAAGCACGACCGGCTACAGGTGAAGCTGAGAAGCATTTGTAGGAGAACAGCTCCTTTTGGATACTGCCCCCATTCACGCGGTTGAATAAAGATCTGGCTTTAGGTTCATTACGTCCCTAGCATCCCATTAATGGACTTTTAGTGGTTGGGGCAGTCCCTAACTTTTTCCAATAAGTCTCAATGGCCAAACGGGATGGTCTTGGCATGCTTCCGTCCTGCTCCAAGTGAGCCTCGAATCCTCCCACCGCCCACACCCCGATTTTGAACGGTAAGTGATGTTCAAAAGCTCGGCATGCCTAGTCTGTGAATCACACAGAGCGAACCCGGCGGAGTCTTTTTTTTGTGTTCCTCCTAAGCCTGTTTGCAAGCGGGAATGCTGTTAGTGGACATTGCCTTTTCAGCTGCAAGCTTCCAAGCAGGTGTGGGGGGTTGTTGACCCTAATGCAGAAGTGCCAGGCTTCTACGTCGGAGAACAGCGCTGCAGAGACCACTTGTGCAACGCTCATCGATGCTCATCCTTCACAGTTCATACATGAGAAAGAGTACAACTGCACAACTGCTGTGACATCCCGGATGTGCGGTTGCAACGCCGGACCAAAACCCTGGTTGCCTGCGAAGGTACATCGGACACACAGCAGACAGAGATGCTGCGACCCTCAATCTGGCCCCGGCTCCAGTGGCACCATGTGGCACCCGAACATGCTGAACAACAAGTTGCAACAAGCGACGTTCATGCCTCAGGTTTTTGAGTGATGAAGCGCGGCAGAACAAGTTTCACGGCTGCTGCTTTAGCTCAAAACAAAAATCTGCAGCCATGAGTGCCTTCATGCTTGGCTAAGCTCTGCAAGCTTGGTTGACTAAATCACTTGGTTGATCCTCATGGTGCAGCCTGCTGCAGCAGTGTCGGGCTTGGGAATGGATCTGCGCATCTGCAATGAAGCTCAGCTATTGGCAGCTGTTTGTGGCCGTGACCGTGCCAACCTCGGCCAATTGCTATCGCCCTGAAGCTTGGTGTTTGTCTGGAAAAACCACTCTTGAGAAGCTGCAGCTGCAACCCAGGTGGCCGGTGCAGTCACATCGGAGACTAGATACGGTTCGCTCGCAAGAGGCTCAGTCGTTGTTGATCTCGATCTGCCCACGCCAGATTCTTGACAGCACCACCCTTGCTCGACGCAGTTCATGAACAGCTCAAACGGCTCGCTGCCTCCGGATTTCTTGAGACCATACCCCTGGAACAGGAACCCCACTTGGCTCTACTTTACTTCACGCTAGCTGCTCAGGCCTAGCCATGCCATCATGTCGGTTTATGGCGCTTAAAGGCCTCTGCAAATTCCTTGGCTCCTCATAGCATGCCTTAGAAGCCCTTCACAGCGAGCCATGGCACGGAAGGTGCAGGGACCCTAAGCAGCCCTCCGCAAAACCCACCAAACCCCCTAAACCGTTCACCCCCTCCAGAACCTCCGCTAGTTCTGGGGTATAAGGAGGGACCCCTAGAAGGGACCCTGAATCTTCTTCCCGTATGTAAGCCCCTACATATACCTCGTATATAGCCCCTATATACCTAAGTAGCCCAAACAACCCCTAAGGTCCCCAAAAAGGGTCCCCCCTTTAGTCCCCACTACCCTCCAACACCTCTTAGTAATTCTTGGGCTCCGACTGCGCGGCAGGTCGGGTTCGGATCCAAGAAACCCCGGTCTACTGCCAAGCGGGAAGCTCAGAAGGCCCGAACGGTGACTTGGCGGCATCAATGAGTCTAGAGTTCAGCATGGGTTCAGGGTAGAGAGAAGCATGATGAGCCATGGTGCATCGGATTGTTAGGTGCGCATGCTGTGCGGGTCCCGGGTGTGTGTGTGTGTGTGTGTGTGTGTGTGTGTGTGTGTGTGTGTGTGTGTGTGTGTGTGTGTGTGTGTCAAAAGTTGCAGCAGGACCCTTTCTCTGCACGGATACGAGGCCCAAAGCCAAAAGGGACTACATCATTGACGATCGTCCCTCGCAGCGCAACAAGGGTCGCCAACTTAAGATTCAAGGTTAGAACACCACAAGTACACTGGCGAGTCGTGAGTGGTTGGCAGTTAGGTCGGAAGATCAGTTCTGTCGCTCTGACAAAGGCGCCTGACCTGTGCTGTTCAGGTTTTGGGGCCTGGATATTTAGGTTTGCTTTTCATGTTCTGCAGGGCAAGTACGAAGCCATTCCTGGAACGCGGGTTCAGCCAGCGCCAGGCTGAGCTCTTTGCCCGAACATCCGGAGCCTCACCATTTTTGTCCTCCCGAGCCTTCGAGCGGCTGTATGCTGCCAGGAGGCAAGCACGTGCGGGTTATCATCCAGGCCCGGCGTTTTTTTTGGTAGGGTTATGGCAGGGTTTGGGTTTCAGGGGATCTGGCACTTGGCATTGCAGCATCTCATCGCCACGGGCCCCTTGCTTTCTGAGCAGATTGTCGCAGGACGGGAAGACCTTCGACCCTCAGAACGTCCGGGCAGCGAGGCGGAGCCGTGAGCCATCCAGACATGCTGGTGGTGTGATGCGGCGACCGATGTCAGAGGCGGCATCTGAAGCAGCTGGCCTGCCTGCCCAGCATTCTTTGTGGGCACCATGGGAACTCGTTGTGGAGGTTTGGAGGCATTTGGAGGCATTTGAAGGCGTTGAAGGCATTTGGAGGCATTTGGAGGCAGAAGATCTGAGGCAGCAGAGTCAGAGACCCTCGCGCGCATCCACGGCACCAAGGCCGGCATGTTGGCAGTCGCTGTAGGCTTCGAAGTTCCTCCCAGCGGTGTCTCAGTCGCTGAATGCCTTCAGGAACAGCTTTCGGTCGCCAAGTCAGCTGCCGAAATAGCAGCCAAAGCAGCTGACTCCAAGGGCAGGCCCTCAGCTGCATTGTTTTAAGGAGCTTTCCTCAGTACAAGCTCCTCCGAAGGCTGGCAGCCAAAGCTAAACAGAAGCTGCGCAACAAGAAGCGCAAAGCCAAGGCTGCGAGTTTTGGACATCCGTTTCTCTGCGGTCCTTACATGGCAGTGTCTCGGCTTGCCGCAGGCAAGTACTCGTACCATGGTATTTCAGGCCACGGAATACCGGCGCAGATGATCGGCTCGAGCTAGTGACAATCTAGATTCGCTTGTTGTGAGTGACAGCGTTGTCGCACTTGCAATACGTATCAAGCATTGGAGATGCCTTAACACCTCAGAGATGCATCCAGCAACAGTCAAAGTGCAGACAGAATCCGAGAGGAGGAGAGGCAGCGGACCGGACCCAAGCACTGCGTGCCTTAGGCTTCATGGTGCCGGGAGGGATGAATGCCAGGCGTTTCGGCAACCCTTACGGCGTGCTGGAATCTCCTCATGCGTCCCCTTGCCTGTCCTATACCAGCTCACCGCTCGCCTCGCCTCTGCAGGGATTTGCCCTCAGTCCGGTGCACATGGGACCCATGGGTACTGGCGACTTACCTCCTGCATCCCCCAGCGTGAAGCCCATCATCCCGCATGGCAACCTGGCCAATCCCACAACGGGAGCCATTTACCCGGGTGGAAGCGTCCTCGACCTGATACCACTACAAATGTCCGTTGCGCGACCAGACCTTCAGAGTGCACAGTCCGAGGGTCCGGTCCCAAGGCATGGGGCACATGGGCCACATGGGGCTGCGCCACAAATTGTGGCAGCCCAGCCCCGCCCAGTGCCACCTCCGCTTACACTGGGCTACACCGTGGGACCCGCAATGGCTTCACCGACCGCACCAGGATCGCCATCTTGGACGACAGTCACCACCAGGCGCAAGCCGACGATGGATCCCAATGCGCCCAAGCCGCTTGCCAATCCAGTCCCTGCACCGCAGCTTCAGAGGATGAACACGACGGGGGATGCAGCTGATCTCTACTATGCCCAGAAGGAGGTGTTCGTGCGTGGCTGGACACACGACGCCAAGCACACCCGAAGTGTGAAGCAGAAGAAGCGTGTTGACTATCAGGTGGAGAAGAGGCGCCAGCAGAGCGAACGCGACAGGGCGGCCATGGCGGCGGACTACGGCGACTCAGACCACGACTGAGCCGAAGCTGAATCTTGCCGCGAAGCTTGCTCGAAGTTGTCGGAGTGTTTGAAGAGTCTCCAGTATGGTCTCTGTAATTCGGGCGTTTGGTTGAAGTGCCAGAGAACCGGCTCTAGCACCTTTGACAGTGTCGCTCTGCAAGTCAGGGATATCTGGTTTGGTGCAGGCGTTGGTGCATGCAGCGAAACGGCTTTTTAAGGGGAGTTCAGCAGCCTTTGGTAGGTGTCCAGCAGCCCTGCATCAGTCAATCTCCTGCGGCATGGTGCCAGAAGTGGCCCTTGCCGCTCCAGTGCACCTTCTTGCTTTGTCAGAAGGGTAAGACTTCGACGTACTTCGACCTCCTGGTCCCAGGCGCAAATGCGCACTCAGAGCAAGTCACATGGCTGGTAGTGTATGCAAAAGGAGGCTCTCAATGGCCGCCCTTTCATGACTTTCATGGCCTCTCGAACGTCTCAAGTAGCTGCGGAGTCTCTGTGTGAACTTCTGAACTGCCTGGTTGCGTGCAGGTGGTTTCGCCATGTCGAGGTGAGCCCGATCCACTTGAAGCTGATGCGTAGCGTGCGGGGAGTGCCCGTGGGCCGCTGTCACCCCGCCCATTCAACTCCGATGGTTTCACCTGAGAAGACGACGCAGGAAAGGGGTCCTCTCTCTGGCTGGTTCTTAGTAGGGAACGAGGGAATGAGGTACTCTATGTAATGCTTTAAAGGGTATATGTATAGGGCCCTGATTCCCTCATTCCCTACTTCCCTCATTCCCTACTAAGAACCAGGCGGTTCTAGAGCAAGGGTGCCGCAGACGCCTGGCGTCACAAATGGCCCGAATCCCACGGCCAAGGCGGCTCCCGCTCCTGCGCCGGCTCCCGCAGCGGCGCCCGGACCAGCGCCCCTGACGGCCGGGGCTCCTGATACACGGAGAGGGCCCATGATTCTGGGTCTGTTTTTTTTTGTGGCCGTTTTCTCCGCATATTCCTCGGAAAGCCTCCATGTCGTCGATGTTTTGAGAGGAAATCCTTATACCACCACCTTTTTTTCGGAATACCGGCAGAACCTCTGTTGACTCCCTCTCCTTTCATTGCGGGCGCCCACGGCCAGACATTGCTCTACTTGCCCCACTTGCCCCGCTTGCTTTTCCGGAAGAGCTAATCGACGTTGCCCCACTTGCCTAACTTGGTTATTTGGTGGCCCGGAAGAGCTAATTGATTTTGCCTCACTTGCCCCACTTGCCCCACTTGCCTGCCTCACTCGCCTGACTTGACGCATCTGCCCCACGCCTGCCTCACTTGCCTCATGGCTTTAAAAGCAAGGGGGGCAGGCTCTGACACAAGTCTGCCTCAAACCGGTCTGTGATTTGAGGCAGACTTAACGGCAAGGGGGGGCAGGCACTGGCCCAACCACAAGTCTGACTCGAATCACGCTGTCTTTGAGGGCCGCAGCGCTGAACATGGGGCAAGTGGGGCTATCATTGCTATTGTGCTTTGATGACTATTGCTAGTATTGTTGACTCTACAACAACGGCCATTACTTTTTGCTATGGCTATGACTTCTGCTATTGCTATTGCTATTGCTGTTGCCATTGCAATTGCAATTGCTATTGCTGTCACACTCACTCTCACTCGCACTCTCACTCGCACTCCCACTCTCACCCTCACTAGCATTCGCAATCGCAGTCGCAGTCGCGCTCGCACTGCCGCTTTCACTCTCACTGCCGCAAACACCGCGATGACGACGACTACTACGACGACAAGAAGCCAGAAACAAAACTCCTACATCCTAGTTCAGAGAATCTTCCAAATCCTTAACCTTAATGTCCTTTACATCCAGATTTCTCAGTCAGCCGAGGCCGCTGATGTAGCACCCGAACTGGAAAAGTCCCTGCTTCGGGCCAAGAAGTGCGTGGCTTACGCGGTTTGATGGCCTTGGGTTTTTGCCAAAAGGCTTAGGGCATTAGGGGTCCACGAAGCCAGGGTTTGGATTTTTGTGCTTGCCTAGGCATGCAGATGCCTCAGAGGCATGGGCAGTTGCTGCCCAAGAAGCTGCCAAGGTGCTCTTTTGCAACAGGGCATTCCAACAGCATGGAGTAAGGCTGTTGTCACGATGTCGACCGCAGTTCTCTCTGCTGCAGACAGGCCTTCAAGCCAAAGGAGAAGAAGCTGAAATGAGCTGGCTGTATTGAGCCATGGACGTTACGAGCTGCCTCTCACTGGCAGCTAGGGTTGGTGTAGGCTTCCAGAAGACAGTCATGAAGCGTACACATGCCAAGTACCCGCGCGTGTTGACAGCCTTGTTGTTGAACATCTTGTCTCGACAGGTCAAAAAGGGATCCCGCTCTTAGACATAGAGTAGTTTCACCCTTGGCACTCCAAGAAACGCTTGTCGCGCCAACAGTTCTCATGTGGTAAGTTGCCAGCTGGGCTGTTGCATTTTTGGAGCCACATATGGCCCGTGCTGCACTGGTTCTGCACTTTTTTCTTACCTCTCCCTCTCTCCCTCGCTCTATCTCTATATTGCTTCTGCCGGAATTGTTCTGCAGCCTTTCGGCACCTACAGGTTGCTCGAGGGTTGTGGGCGCTGGGACGTTCGGACTAGTAGAAATACCATCCTGGTCATTTGTGCTACGCACACAGGCTGTGCTCTCTGGTCTCGGCCTTGTTCTGTATTCACCTGCAATGGGTGCTGGCGTGAACCGCATGCACCTGGAGGCAAGTTGCTGTTTGGGTGATGCAAAGTTCTTTCGGTTCACACAGAAACCAAGACAAGCTGATTAACGTTTGCAGGAGGTGCAGGCCCAATTTGGGGCGCCTGCCAGCCGATCCTTTGGATCCAAGGCCCCTAGCTCCGCGAGCGATCAGTTCCTACCTAGTGGAACAAGCAGATGCGAGCAGATACAAGCAAGAAGGATTCTGTGCACGTGATGCTTTTCAGAATCAGAATGACATCCATGGCGAGCAGAGTGTCGATGCTGGGCTGTCAGGCTGTAAGCTTCGCAAATGCGCCGTCCGAGAAGGATGCCTCCACGGCGACTTCGCACCAGTTTGGCTTTGTAGCTTTGGCAATGTCACGGTGAGTTTCGTGCACTTCTCCCCTCAAAATCTACTAATCCGGGGGGGGGGGGGGGGTTGTCCAGCCTGAGGTCAAGGCCTCGAAAGACAACTCCCAAAGCACTGCGGGAATTCCTGGAACTGGGCAAAGCACACCAGGTCGGGCTCTGAGGGCTTACGCCTTTACGAGTAGGAGCCTTTGGGATGCCTTCAGGGTGTTTAAGGTTGAGAGTGGATGTCTACCATCGTCAGGAGCGCCCAATGCAAGCAAGACCGAGCGCTGGCTGCAAGAGGCCGGCTCTTGTTGCAAGTGCCAGTGCCTTGCTACTGTAGGCACAAGGAGCAATTGTCGAGTAGGGCAGTGGTTCTGGAGGTCAAGTCTGCAGGTCGGCTGAAGCGGACAGTGCAAGCCTCGGGTCTCACATTTTGCAGCCCTGGAAGCGCTTAGAGTGCTTGGAGTGCATTGTGGCAAGGTCACCTTCCCAGTTGGTGACTGGTTTCTGGGTGTCGGAGACGGAAGCATCGGCAGAGACAAGGCGCACGGAGACCCGAATCTGAAGTAAAACCATGGGGCGTATATCGGCTGAAATCGAACGTTTGTGTGGCTTCTCCTACTTCGTTTGTGCATGTTGTCTCCGGGTACCCAAGCTTTAAGCGGTCGTGTTCGAAGAGACATTTAAGGAACTGCCCGTGTGCATGCAGAAGAAGAACTTGTTTCCGGGGCATTATGTAATGCAGTCACTGGAGATGTTAGATGTTCTGCTCACATGAGTTCTGTGTGTGTGTGTGTGTGAGAGCCACTAGCCGCGCCCGAGCCGCATCCTTTTGAAGAGCAATACGCCTCGCACCTGCGGCAAAGGACGAAAACCTCACAAGTAGCACAACCTCACCCAGCGATCCTCCGAACCCAAGCCTTCTGTGTTCGAACGTGAATATGTGCCCCCTTCCGCTCTTTGCCGGCACAGGTAAGGCAGAGTCCCGCACCGCAGCAGTGCAGGTCTTGAGAAACTCATGCCCTCCGCAGCCTGAGACCTGAAGCTGCATTGTTGTCCGCTTCAGACTCTCTGACGACCCCCTCCCATTTGAAGGCAAGTTTGTGGCTGGTCTTGAGTGCGGGTTTGGCTGGGCTTATCAAGGTGTACCTACCCAGAAGCAAGCAAGTCTCCATCGCAAGAAAGGAGAACGTCTGCCACACACCTGTAGAAGAACGAGGGAATGCATTCCGCTAAACCCCGGCAGCAACGAAGAGATTTTACATTCCGCCTTCGCACCACCTGCAGCAAAGGTAGCTGACTTTGCACAGCCTTCGTATAATGCAGCATAATGCAGCCAGGTGGGCTTTGTATTTTCCCATATGGTTCACAAAATTGAGAGTACCGAACCAAGTATGAATCAAATCATGAGCCGGGACGGAGCTGCCACTCCAAGACAGGGTTCACAATAGACAGTCGTCTCCGGCTGTGAATACGCTAAACGATGAATTAAAAGTTGGATGGAGCTTCCGCTCGAAGGAATGGTTCAAAACAAGCAAGCGAGTGTCTCGGCGTCTCTGGGTGCGAATCTGCCGGATTTGCATCGCATGGTCTTCCTAGCACTTAGCACCAGGCGTTTCACATTGCGCTTCCAGGTGCGTCGCAGGTGACAGAGCCGAGCATGGAACGGGTGTGCAGACTTGCAACGCATAGTCGCACAACCACTGGTGCAGCCCAAGGTTCCCAAACACCGCGGGTGCAGCACTTCCTTGTGTCAACCCGTGCCCAAACCCCGTGCAATTTCCACTCTTCACGCTTGCCTCAACTTGTCCTCAACTTGTCCACAATGGCTTGCAGGGTCATGCTTTATGGGTTATGGTTCTGGTGCTTAGTGTTTATCGTTTAGTAATTGGAGCTTTCGGTAGGCTCTTGGGCTCTCTCAGCTATATCTATTTCGATGCATTTCCAAGAGCAGCTGCAAAGCAAACTTGCTGTGGTGGACAGGGATCATATTTCGTATCCCCCGCCCGAACATTTTTCTGAGTTCCTAAAGCTTCACAAGACCCCTCAACAGGCCCCGAGAAAGGCCCAAGGCTGCCCAAAGCCCCCTCAAGCCACCCACAAGGCCCCCAAGGCAAGCGCACAGGGGAAACGGCAAAAAACGCGTTGTGAAAATGCTACCGGACCACGAACCTGATGGCCAAATTATGACCAAATTTTGATCAGTTGGAAACGAGCAATGATACAACCCAAAGGGGACGTTGAAGCTCTTCTCGTTGAGCTGGCTGTGACAGTGGCGAGGACAATCCTGCTGGGGGCGCGCTGATCATGAAAGGCTGGCCCAGCAGTTTTTCCCAGCGACCCTGCGTCCCAAATCCTCGCGGGGGGGGGGGGGTCCCCTGAGTTTCCGCTCGCTTCGCAACAGATTCCTTGGCGGACTTCGACGAGAATGACCGGCCTCCCAAGGCCGGTGAATTGGGCTTTTAGGGTTTAGGGTTTAGGGTTTAGGGTTTAGGGTTAAGGGTTTAGGGTTTAGGGTTAGGGTTTAGGGTCGAATTAAGTGAGTAATGAGTTAAAAACACACATGAATGACAACAAGAGCAGTATGTACAAGTGTTGCTGGAAGGAGAACAATGTTTAAGCTTAAGTGTCATATGTACATACAGACATATACCAATATATGTATATATATATATATATATGTATATATATATATATACATATCTATGCCTGGGTACATACATACATGCATTATAACTTCACGTTGATCAGCATTTTCCCACGGGCCGTTGGGGGCTCGCTTGCAACAACGCTGCCCAGTACGAGACGATGAGTTCCGACACCGAAGACAAGGCCCCGGCTTCGGCCTCTTTGGAGTTTTAAAGCAACCTCACACGCCTCTCAAGTGCCAGGCTGAAGTCGTGGTGCTGGGAGGCCGAAGAAGTTGCGTGTCCGTCTTTGAGTCCACGTAGCCGGCTCTTGCTTCGGAGGTGGTGTCCCACCCCCCAAGGCAAGCATCAGCGACCTGTGCCTTCGATGTTCAGCTGTATGTGACGTAAGTCGGCAACTGCTGCCGAAGGCTGACAAGAAAGACCGCAAGGCCGTGAGAGAGCCACAGCAACTTTCTCACTCGCTTTGGGAGAGGGATCAGCCTGGGCACGCTGTGCAGCAATACAACGAGATGTAGCTGGTATTACTAGACGGTCGGCTGTCCATTTTTGAGTGTATGGTTGCTTGGGCCTATGAAGTTTTGACAACATCTGCTGCGCAGGCCATGTTGGGCAACCTGGGCTTAGACCCGTCAAGTGACGAGCTCCTTGCCTTGCAGGATGGCGGAGGATGGGGTAGTCTGGGTAGTCCATCCTTACACACATACTCTCAGGGGACTTAGCAAACAGGTTCTAGGTTGTGTTGTTTTCACTTTGAGTCAAGCTATCGCAGTTAATCCCATTTATGCTTGGGAAGTTCCAGCGTAATTGAGCCTGAAACCCCACCCCCAGCGAAGGTTTAAGCAGTCGCACGAGCCCCCGAAGCTTGGCTGCAATGTTGCGGAGTTCACGTGGAGTTGCGGGTCTTTCGTGGATCTTGAAAGCCGCTGCCGCTTCGCCGGTTTTCTGAGGCCTGGTGGCTGGACCAACAATGCCAGAGCTGGCGTCGGCGCCCCGTAGCTTGTAGAAAAGGGCAAAGTGGCAGAGCTTCTTCAACAAAAGGACCCCGAGCTGTTCCAAGCACTTGCTTTGCCGGTTGCAGAAACCATTGTACGAGTATCTGACGTTGCATGCGCTGTGAGTCGCCCTCCCTTCAAAGGCTGCTGGTTCTTGTTGAAGCTCAGCTCTAGAGGCTCCTTTACTTACTCGTTTACTCGTGGCTTTCTGATCACCTTCTTGTTGCTTCATGGCATCCGAGACCGGGTGCCTGAGCCGTATGAAATTCAAAACTGGCCCTTGAACTCGGAACCACTCGAAACCCGCAATGCGGCCAAAATCCTAAGCCAAGAGCCTTCGCCACAAGGTCTCCTCGTTGCCGCAAGCTGGGTATGGAGGAGAACTGCAACTCCTGGAAGATCACAGGCAGCACGCCCGGGCTGGATCTCGGGAATTCTTGGCTTTGAGTGGCTGGGTTGCTTTTGGTGGGGAGGTCGGAGACCCTCCACTTCAGCGATCTAACAGTTCGTGCCTGAGCGCAGTTGAACGGGGGCAGCTGAGCGGAGACTGTCCCATGGCCAAAACAGATCCGCAGCTCAGGACAGCTCGCGCTTTACCTGTCAGCAGAACGAAGCTTGGATGCAGAACGGTTGGCTAATGGAAACAGCACACCGCACCGCTAGGAAAGCGAGCCCAAACCGAACCCCCACAAGCCTGCAGCCAGTGCCCCCACCTGAGGCCTGGGGACCTGGTCCAGGTGGGCCGGCGCCGGCCCCGACGCTTAAGGGATACCCACACCCCCAGTGCCTCGGCGCAAGTGCTGGGCAGCTGTTGTTTCGTTTCTCGGGGGCTTTGCTTGCTGCCCTTGCAGAAAATGAAGCAGAATCGTGGCTCTATGTGAGCAGTGAAGTCGCAGGTTCGAATTGGATCATCCAGAGAGCTTTGCCTGCGACCTAGTACTGTACTACAGACCGTCAACTGCAGTGTGTCTTGCTTACGATGCACGAGGTGCATGTACACCTGGAAGACAGATCTGCGGAAGGCTAAGTTGCTCAAGCTACCCTTTCTCAGCTGCCGAACGAAGCCTCGCCAGTCAGCAGACGATCTGGTGCTCAGGCTGGGCCGACTTCACATGTTCTCTGGGATGCTGCCTACGACATGGGTGGAACTGAGGCATTGTGCTGTCTGTAGAAGTCATCTCCGCACGTTTGCCATCTTTGTGCTGGCAAGGTACTTAAATCCACCGCTCCGGCCGCTCTCTTGGGCTGCTCCAACCCTAGCAGTGCCTTCGCGAAGAGACATGTCAAGTAAGGCCATGTGGGGTCAGCGACCCAATTTGGAGCTCCTCTGTCCCCCGAAGAGCGGGCCTCCACACTGGTGAGCGGCCCAAGGAATCCAAGGATCACGGGAGGACGAGCCCTGAAATTCTTGGCTGGGAGGTTCGAGCTGACCCTTTCCCGCGAGTCAAATGCCGGAAGCCTCAGCAGCAAAGCTCATGTTCGGAATGCTTCGGCATGTTTCGGAACGTCCAGGTGAGACGGCGGCCGACCATGCTTGCTGCTCAGATGCTGTGGACTGCGGCGTATTGCCCCAGCTTGCAGCTGTTGACTGATGGTAGACGGCCAGGATGCAGGACTTCATTGCGTCCCAAGTCATCACGGCATACAGGCCCTCTGAGTTCCTCACACCGAACTCATCTTTTTCCGCTGGTCTGCGGTTGCCAGCTCCTCCGTCCGGCCAAGAGGCCTGATCACGATCCCAAGCTGGATGCGTTCTCGATGGTGCAGTGCTTGGCGGGAGAGTTTCGAAACAGTTTCGGCTTCGATGCTGGACTTGTGAGCCCTGTGCCGATCCAAGGACGTGAGTGCAGGAAACTCTGGTAAAGCGACCTCAACCGCCAAGACTGCTGAGACTGTAAAATGGCTGTAAGTTCCGAAGTTTTTTCGGCGCTTTTATTGAAATAGCTGTGCTTTCCTTCGCCATACTCGACAAGGGTGGTCAGGGGGCAGCGTTGCGGTTCTTTGTCATGGAAGGCGTACAGATTGCTGTTTCTGTATTGCATGTGTGCCGCCTTTGCCGCTCAGCACTTCAGTTGCCATCAGAGCTTTGTCATGGACACTCCAGCTATGCCTAGTTACATTAATTTACATAAAAAGTCAACTGACGGCTGCAAAGCAAAAAGCAAGAGAGTGCCTTCGACATCTGATCAGCATGCCGAGCCGGGCAACACCCGTGTGGCAAGAAGCACATGGCCCACATCCTACCCGCCGCCTGCAGCCACCCCTTCTGAAACTCGTGTCAGCCCAGGCTGCAATGACTTGAAAGGAAGATGTTCCGTGAGAATCCCCGAAACTTCCGTGGTACATCCTGCCATGGTTTCTGAGCCCGTGGAAGCATCGAACTGCCCGCCACACTGTGGAGGGGAGCGATGCTCCAAAGAATGTCAGCCTCCAGGCTTCCAAGCATACAGAGCGGAGGTCAAGACATCTCAAGACAGTGTCAGCCCTACAGCTGCCCTCATGGGTTGGTAGGCTCTTGTGGGCTTATGGGCCCCGAATCAAGTTTCAAAGGGACAAAGACCCAAGCCTTGCCTTCGAAGCCTTGACAGGTGGCTGCAAGATGGACTGCTCTGCCGAAGGTCCCAAACTCGACTTGCCTTCTTGCGCGATCGAGACCTCGGGCCCTCGGGCACTGCAGGTGAGACAGAGAAGCCCCAGATTGCTTTGCCTCCCGAGGCACACATACAGTGCCAGACAGTGCCTGTCATGCCTCTTGAATGCCGGAATGCGCTTAGAGCTTGTAAGGCTGATGCGAAGAAGGCAGAAGGAAATACTGCTTTCCAGGCTCCTTCAACATTTCTCGTGAATCGGTCGGCAGTGGCAGGCGATTGAGAGCGAGTTGTAAGGCCAAGCAATTCGAGGATGCGGCACGCCTATATGCGGAGGCTATCGCCATAGCTGAGGCCGGCCTCAACCATCCAAAATCCGACAATGACAGTGGTTTTTGTCCCGTAATATTTCCTTGTGCTTGTGCCTTTGAGGCAGCAGGGGTAGGGCAACAGGGCAGTACGATGTCTTCAGTTCGATTGTCGCGAACGCTGAGCTAGACTGTCCCAAGCCTTGAGCGCGGAATGCCAGGGCGGCTCAATTCTAAGTCCCTGCAGTGCCCCTTGTGGATCCCAGAGCATGGCGTATCGCAAGACCTACTACCGGCTGTTGGGATGCTCCGTGATGCTGCGCCTGATCGCCATGATTTTCGGGTTCCTCACGCTTGGCGCTATGAACGTCGGGCAGACCCTTGGCAAGTCTGCCGGGGAGTGGGAGACTTGCATCTTCTTTGTTGACTTGAACGAGGTGGAGCTCTCTGCAGAGATCATCGACATGGAAATGAGCATGTCAGTGGGCTCGGAGGCCCAGAAGTACTGTGGCGAATCCCCAGAAAACGTGGTGCGGGAGCTTGGAGAGATCGAGGAGTACCTCAAAGCCCGCAGAATTTCGGAGCAATGCTTGCCCAATCTGTTGGCCTGGGATGAGCCATGTCCTTGTGACAAAGAGGCTGATCCCGAGGCAAAATGTCCTGAAAGCGAGGTGCTCGGGCACAACGCGCTCGATTTTCAGATGATGATGGCCGCGTTCCTGGCAGTTGTGCTCGAACTCATCAGGTGGTCCGAGATCTTCTATGAGTACTGTGGTTCATACCGGGTCTTCAACTGGTGCCAGAAGCAAATCATTGCCGTGTACAAGTACTTCATGCTATCTCTTCTTCAGAGCTATGTCCTGACCCCTCTGACAAACATTGGGACCCTGCCCGAGACAAAGGTGAACCTCCTCGCCACTCCGTATGGGTGGGGGCCCATGCTGGTCTTCACCATGATTTGGGTGCCATGCATTCTTCTCTTCACTTGTCTCAAGGGCTGCCTCGTGGCATTCAAGGTAAGGAAACCAACCCTTAGATTAGAGGTTAGGGTTTAGGGTTAATGCTGCCAAGACACCTGTGAACTCGCACAAGTCAAATCGCCCTTTTCAGATACTGCACTTGATCATAGCTAAAAGGCCTGCAGAAGGGATATGATGCTTCATCATCAAGACTCCCCCTTTGCAGCATGCAAACTCATATCTAAGGCACACCACTCTTTCAAACACTTGGCCAGGTAGTTGTTAGGCCGTGGAGTGAGTGCTCAAAGCTCAAGGCCTTTTCTGCGTAACAACACCAACAACGGAGATCTAAAGGAGATCTACGGGGGGACGCCTAAGGACAGGACAGGAATCCCAAAAGTCCAGCGAGCTCCCCTTCTCGGAAACAATAGCAGCACTTACCGGCTGCCTACGATCAAGATGCTCTAAACGATACTGCGGTTTCAAACACTCTGCGACGCTCAAGACTACGGAAAACCAGCTTACGCAAGACGGTGTCCACATACTTATCTGTACCAAGCATAGGACCTAGAAAACCCTTTAAGACGCTACTGGCCCCAAAGGAAGGAGAACTTACCCCGTCAACCCTATCTAAACACCCAAAACCTACATCACTTAAGACTAGGAATCAGGACTTCTAGGAGTACGCCTTGTTTGAGGTCTACAGTTTCCGCTTCACTGTGTTAAGCGACGTGGTGGTGTTTTCGGCTTCGGCTCGGCTTTCGGTTGAGATTTCGGCTTAGATTTTGGTTTGGGACCTGCGGCTTTCGATTTGCTTGGAGGAGGGTTTGGTACAGGAGCTATAGGGGTTGGAGGAGCTACAAGGAACTCAGTTCTCCCCTGCCATTGCATCGTTGAGACGTTCGCCCCTTGGCGCGTGACCCTGAAGTTGTCATCAAGAATGCCACTGGTACCATCCCTGAAGATACAGAAAGACCGACGATCCCCAACCAACCTGCTTAGTGATATCGGAAGTGCTGTCCGACTTGGGTCGAAGAACTGTTGGCGCCACATCGGATGCCATCTTATCAGCAGACCAAGTTCGGGAATGTAGTGGAAGTTATCTCTGAGCCCTTCAATGGGCTGATGGCCGAGATTTCGGCGAAGCTCCCACTGAATCAATTCTTGTCTCTGCGCGATTAATATCATGTCCTGATGAGCTTGCGGGTTCAATTTCGGAGCTGGTGGGGGTTGCTTAACAGGAGGAGACTTTGGGACACCTACAGACTGTGCCTTCGCGGTTGGATGCTTTGGGGCAACAGTTCCCAACCAACCTTCAGGCGGTAGTTTCGGCTTAGGGATAGGGATAGCTACAGACTGCGATGTCACGGGCGGAGGCCTTTTTACAACGGTTCCCAACCAACCATCCGGGGGCGGTTTTGGTGCAGGAGGCTTACTCTTAGGGTCTACTTCAAGACTCCCACCCGAAACCAGAGACTCTTCCGAAAGCCCAGAACTCAACGAGGGATGGTGCCCCTGAAAGGAAGTTTGGGTACTTGACTTAGGATCTGGAGCTTTAGTTTTAGGCCCTGCCGCCTGAGACAGTTCTACTCCCCCGGTCCTAGACCCCTGTCCTATTTCAGGTTCGGGATTTGGGCTTTGAGGTTCCGACCAAATGTCTTCAAGAGAGGCTCTGCGGGATGGGGACTCATCTAACAACGGGTCGTAGGGATCATAGGGCTCAACATATAGAGCATACCACCTATGAAACAAGGCTCGTTCTTCTTCTTCTAGCGCCCTAGCGATCAAGTCCGCAGCCACAACTTCGACCTGATCCTCTGGCCCTACCAGTCCAACGTCATCCCCAAAAGCGACTACTGTCACCTCAGACCCGTCTACAGCTCCCTGCGAAGATACTTGTTCTAGAACAGACCCTACTAGTTCTCCGTTCTCAGGTGGCCCCTGAAGATCTCTAAGTCTCCTTGCCCCTTGACTCCAACACCATCGCAAACATAGTTCCAAAAGTCTTGCGATTAAGACCGTGAACCCCATTACTAGCAGAAGCGGAACCCATGACGCTTCATCTTCTTCATCTTCAGATGGCTGAGCTTGCGCTCTGGAGATGCTCAGCACCACCACGGCGCATCTTAAGACATGGGACAACTGGACGACTCCAGCCAAGTCAAGTAGCTTCTGCATCCTCTGAGACGAAAGCGACTTGGTTAATAGGTCCGCGGTCATGACCTCCCCTGGTAGGTGAAAACATTGAAGCTCCTCATTCTCTATTCTCTCGTGCAATCTTCTCGCGCGAAGTCTCAAATGACGGGTTCTCCATGAGCCCGCCGGGAGAGCGATCAAGCAAGTGCATGCAACGTTGTCCGAATAGAGAGCTGGCGCCACCTGCCCTACTAGTTCGCGTACCAGGTCACTGACACTGTCTGTCATGACCATACCTTCCATGGCCGCATATAGCTCAGCTTCTGCCGAACTCAGGCAGACGAACGTCTGCTTTGAGGAAACCCAGCCGATGACAGCGCCGGCCCATTTTTACACCACGCCGGTTTGTGACTTTTCGCCCAGCGGTGCAAACGACGCGTCTGTGGCGACTTCTAGAGTCCCCTCCGTCATTTCGACCTTCACGCCCTGCGCAGGCTTCGGCCCGTACACCAGGCCCAAACCCGGCTTTCCTCGGAGATATCGCACGATGTTTTGGCACACTGCAATCGCCCTGCTAGGACGCTTGCTAGAAAGCTGAGAAGCACGGTTCACCGCCCACGCGATATCCAACCTTGTTTTCGTGGCCAACCACGTTAATTCTCCAATCAGCCCCTGCACTAAGCGAACCGACTCCATCTGGATATTCTCTTCTTGGGTCTCCTGATCCTTCTCAGCTGGATACGGCGTCGACGCAGTCCCCTCAATTTCGGGATGCCTGTTCAGCAACTCGGTGACATAGCTCACTTGTGTTAGGTAATACCTACCATTGTGCAGCCGGATATCAACACCAAGAAAGTGCAAACCGTCCTCCGCAAACTTAATGTCGCTGGTCTCCCAAAGCGTCTGAATGGCCCCTGCCACTGATTCCAATAAGCCTCTGCAAGCACTCAAGAGCATATCGTCAACATATACGCCAATGAGCCCCTTCAAAGCGTTGCTGGAATCCTGGATTTTCCAAAGAGACGGTTCGGAATCGCTCTGTGTTAGTCTGTACTCCAAACCCTCGAAGGCCCAAAAAAAAGAGAAAGAAAGACATTTGTCACGGTGTCGGCTCCATGCCGCCGGGCTTAAGTCCAAGCCGTATAGTGCTCTCTGGATAACCCATCGCTCCGACGGTGGGATTATCTTGGCCTTGACCAGTATTTTAGGCGGCATCAAGATTATGCGTTTTCCTTTTCCCTTCCGTTCGTGCAGCGGCGCATACAGGAAGGCTTTTCTTATGTCTAGGATTGCAGCGGTCCACCCACATAGAGACGCCTGTCGCAACTGGATTCTCAACGCGATGGTGTCTAGCCCAGAGGCGTATACCTCTCGACGAGCAACTGCAACTTGATCGCTCCAGGTCTTCTGCTGAAAGTTTCCGCACGCCACTATGCGCGCGCGTCTTTTTCCCACCGGTGGCTTTCTCGTGAACACCACCTTTGCAGGTAGGATTTCTATTGCTCCACTCTGCACATCTTCCTCACACAACTGGTTCACGTCGATGGGGTAGATGGCTTCATATTGAAAGCGTAACCCAGTGTATTCGTCCAACAGTGGGGGGACCCACTTTTCAAGTTCGCCCGCTGCTTGCTGCGGGTCGATAGTCCTAGCCTGCAGGAACACCTCTGGCTCACTTTCTTCTTGTGGGCCCTTCTCGCTTTCCTTCACTGCTAGTGTCCTTATCATAGCCTTGGCTAGCCTCTCGTCATCATGCCCGCTGACAGTGCCATCAAGCTTTGTCCCGGAATCGATCCACAGCAACTCCTCTTGCAGCTCTTGGATTTGCGAGTCCAACATGTTGATGTAGCACATGCTTGGGCAGTTTGACGGCCCGGCTTCCCTCAGCGTTTCGGACGCCAACTGACACTCCCAAGAAAAGACCCGTGAGAGGAAGTAAAGGTCAGCTTGC